TAGAATACAAGGGAGGGACAAAAAGCTTCTATCCAGAGGAGGTATCCTCTATGGTTCTGACAAAGATGAAGGAAATTGCAGAAGCCTACCTTGGGAAGACTGTTACCAATGCTGTGGTCACAGTGCCCGCTTACTTTAATGACTCTCAGCGTCAGGCTACCAAAGATGCTGGAACTATTGCTGGTCTCAATGTACTTAGAATTATTAATGAGCCAACTGCTGCTGCTATTGCTTACGGCTTAGACAAAAAGGTTGGAGCTGAAAGAAACGTGCTAATCTTTGACCTGGGAGGTGACACTTTTGATGTGTCAATCCTCCCTATTGAGGATGGAATCTTTGAGGTCAAGTCTACAGCCGGAGACACCCACTTGGGTGGAGAAGATTTTGATAACCAAATGGTCAACCATTTCATTGCTGAGTTCAAGCGCAAACATAAGAAGGACATAAGTGAGAACAAGAGAGCTGTAAGACACCTCCGTACTGCTTGTGAGCGTGCTAAGCGTACTCTCTCTTCCAGCACCCAGCCAGTATTGAGATCGATTCTCTCTATGAAGGAATCGATTTCTATACCTCCATTACCCGTGCCCGATTTGAAGAATTGAATGCTGATCTGTTCCGTGGAACCCTGGACCCCGTAGAGAAGGCCCTTCGAGATGCCAAACTAGACAAGTCACAGATTCATGGCATTGTTCTGGTTGGTGGTTCTACTCGCATCCCCAAGATTCAGAAGCTTCTCCAAGACTTTTTCAATGGAAAAGAACTGAATAAGAGCATCAACCCTGATGAAGCTGTTGCTTATGGTGCAGCTGTCCAGGTTGCCATCCTGTCTGGAGACAAGTCTGAAAATGTTCAAGATTTGCTGCTCTTGGATGTCCCTCCTCTTTCCCTTGGTATTGAAACTGCTGGAGGAGTCATGACCGTCCTCATCAAGCGTAATACTACCATTCCTACCAAGCAGACACAGACCTTCACCACCTATTCCGACAACCAGCCTGGTGTGCTTATTCAGGTTTATGAAGGTGAGCGTGCCATGACCAAGGATAACAACCTGCTTGGCAAGTTTGAACTCACAGGCATACCTCCTGCACCCTGAGGTGTTCCTCAGATTGAAGTCACTTTGGACATTGATGCCAATGGCATCCTCAATGTGTCTGCTGTGGACAAGAGTACAGGAAAAGAGAACAAGATTACTATCACTAATGACAAGGGCCGTTTGAGCAAGGAAGACATTGAACATATGGTCCAGGAAACTGAGAAGTACAAAGCTGAAGATGAGAAACAGAGGGACAAAGTGTCATCTAAGAATTCACTTGAATCCTATGCATTCAACATGAAAGCAACTGTCGAAGATGAGAAACTTCAAGGCAAGATTAACGATGAGGACAAACAGAAGATTCTGGACAAGTGTAATGAAATTATCAACTGGCTTGATAAGAATCAGACTGCCGAGAAGGAAGAATTTGAACATCGGCAAAAAGAGCTGGAGAAAGTCTGCAACCCCATCATCGCCATCACCAAGCTGTACCAGAGTGCAGGAGGCATGCCAGGAGGAATGCCTGGAGGATTCCCTGGTGGTGGAGCTCCTCCCTCTGGTGGTGCTTCCTCAGGGCCCACCATTGAAGAGGTTGATTAAGCCAACCCAAGTATAGATTTAGCATTGTTCCACACATGTAAAACACTGAAGGACCTAAATTTGTAGCAAATTCTGTGGCAGTTTTTAAAAGTTGAGCTGCTATAGTAAGTTACTGGGCATTCTCAATACTTGAATATGGAACATATGCACAGGGGAAGGAAATAACATTGCACTTTATAAACACTGTATTGTAAGTGGAAAATGCAATGTCTTAAATAAAACTATTTAAAATTGACAACATTAAAAAAAAAAGAATAAATATTTCATGGGTGGTGACGGCCTTCATCTTGAAACATGACTACTCCTTGGCAAAGCTGAATGTGGTGCCTCTGTGTGTCCTGGGCTGATTTACGGTTCCCAAGTAGGACAATGCAAAACGACTCCAAATAATTCGTGTTATTAGAAATGCAAGTGTTTTAAAATGTTGTGGTGGACGCGATGGTTCCTGCCTGTAATCCCAGCACTTTGGGAGGCTGAGGCAGGTGGATCACCTTTTCATATGTCTGCTTGCAATTTGTATGTTGTCTTTTAAGAAATGTCTATTCAGATTTTTTGCCCTTTTTGGTTGGATTATTTGGTTTTTTTTACTAGAGAGTTGTTTGAGCTCCTTATATATTTTGGTTATTAATCCCTTACCAGTTGGATAGTTTGCAAATATTTTTTTCCATTCTGTGTGTAGTCTCTTCACTTTGCTGACTGTATCCTTTGCTGTGCAGAAGCTTTTTAACTTGTTACCCTGTTTGTCCATTTTTGCTTTGGTTGCCTGTGCTTGTGGGGTATTGCTCAAGAAATGTTTGCCCAGAACAATGTCCCGAAGATTTTCCCCATCCTAAGATGTTTTAATCCTCCTTAAAGCTCAGGGCTCAGGGAAGCTTCCTGACTGACCAATGCCTGGATCCAGTTTTTTGTTTCGTTTTTTTTTTGTTTGTTTGTTTTCTTTTGGTTTTTTTTTTTTTTGAGATGGAGTCTCACTTTGTTGCCCAGGCTAGAGTGTAGTGGCATGATCTTGGCTCACTGCAATGGCTACCTCCCACGTTCATGTGGTTCTCCTGCCTCATCCACAGGTGTGCGCCACCATGCCCAGCTACTGGGTCTAGTTCTGGTCACCACCCACTGTCCCCTGTAAGTATTCCAAAGGAAGTGTGTATTGAGCTGAATGGGTTAACTGATGCTGCAGTAACAAACAAACCTCACATTTCAGTACTTTAATAAGGTTGTGATCGCCTCAAACTATATCCCTGTGAAGGGAGAGCTGGGGGCCCTGCTCTATGCTGTCCTCATGCTTGGAGCTGGGCTGATAGAGTAGCCAGCATCTGCTGACTGCTCCTGCAGAGGGGCAGAGTGTGTGGTGAATTAACACTGGCTCTTAAAGCTTTCTACTGGCGGTAACACATTGCTTTACTCACATTTCATTAGCCAAAGCAAGCCACACGGCCATATCCCGTTTCAAGGGAAAGGAGTATAATAGACCTTATTATTACCAAAATGTTTGCTGTTCCCACCTGTGGAAGGATTATAATTCTCTCCTCATTAACATCTGGCCTAGCCACATGACTTGCTTTGGCTACTGGTCTTTTTTTTTTTTTTTTTTCTTTTTTTTTGACACAGAGTCTTGCTCTGTTGCCAGGCTAGCAAGCAGTGGCACAATCTTGGCTCACTGCAATCTCCGCCTCCTGGGTTCAAGCGATTCTCCTGTCTCAGCCTCCCAAGCAGCTGGGACTACAGGCATGCGCCACCATGCCCAGCTAATTTTTGTATCTTTAGTAGCGATAGAATTTCACCATTTTGGCCAGGATGGTCTTGATCTCTTGACCCCGTGATCTGCCCGCCTCAACCTCCCAAAGTACTGGGATTACAGGCATGAGCCACCGCGCCTGGCCCTGGCTACTGGTCTTTGAGTAGAAATGTGCCATGAGGGACTGACTGCTCCTTCAGTCTGAATCCTGGAGATGACAGAACAGAGTGAAATTGACCCACATGGGAACAACGCATGAGTGGGAAAGAAATCTTTGTAGTTATAAGCGCCTATGATTTGGAGGTTGTTCATTACTGCAGTATAGCTTAACTTACACTGATGGTTTCAGTGGGGAAGTATAATTTTATCCCGTGCTCAAGGGGAGACTTGGAAACGGCTGATGGGCAGCATGCATGACAACCACATAATGCCATTTGAATTGAAAACTGGAGAGAACAGCAGCGGGCTAGGCTGGAGGGAAAGCGTTTCAGGAAGAAGGAAGCATGACTGCACGGTTTGGAAAAGAGGAGGATGCAGTGAGGGGTGGATTGGGTGTATGGCACGAGGGACAGAATGGCAGGAACAGATGCCATCTGTTCTCTCTGTTAGGTTTGGCTTACACCAGTCCCAGATCTAAGGTCACCTTTGAGATGACTTTTGTCGGTTCTGGTAGTAATTTGATTTGGATGACGTCTGGCCCCTCTCTGACCTCACAGATGCCTCTGTAAGCAGGTATAACATTCACTTCTCAATGCTGTTGCGGACTGTTGGATGAGTTAAGCACTGGTGGAAAAGCCTGTGCTCTGGAATCAGACGGAGCCATGTTTGAATCCTGGCTCTGCCACTTCCTAAGAACCTTGGAAATTCTTCATTTTTAACATCTGTAAGCCTCTGATTCCTCATCTGTAAAATGGAGATGATGATTAGTGCTTCATATGGTTGTTACAAGGATTATAAGAAATAGCGAAATTATGCAATGCATAATTTATAAAGATTCCATATTCATTAATCCAACATGAGAATTATAGAAATGTTGGGCCTGGGTTATTTTTCTTCTGATTCTTGTTACAAAACAGATGACAGTTTTTACATATTTAAGGCAAAATTATATTGGCATCGTCTTTATGTGAAATATCTCCTTTAAGGTGAAGTTCAGATATTTAACATAAAGAAGATCTTTAATAGCATAGACAAAGCTGCAGTGTTGTTTACTTTATTCACATGCCATCCCAGGGTCTACAGGGTCTAACTCCCACTGTTGGCTAGTCCCCCTTGAATTCCAACTCCACGATTAGTTCACAGGATCAAACCTGTTGCTTTGTTTGTAGTGATGCTCCAGCAGAAATGAGAATATAATCAGGCAGACTGGGCTGAAAGTTATTCACCACCAGAGCTCTGCACAGGCCGGTTGCAGCCCTCTGAGAAAGACAGCTGTCAGAACCATTTTCTGAGAACTTTCTGCGAACTTGTGTATCTGGCAGGTGAGGCCAGGAACAGTGCTCCAATCCCAGGGATTTCAATTAACAGGGTGTAAGCTAAGATCTTTACTTAGATCATCTCATTTAATCCTCAAAACAACGCTGGTATCAAATACTAACATATTAATTCCATTTTTCAGATGAGGAAGTGGAGGATCAGGAAAAGTGACATAATTTTACTAGCTGGGATTCAGAAGAAGAACGTAATCACTGCATTAAATTACTTATTAGGATTTCATAGCCAAGGGAACCACAACCTGAGTGACTTATTCAGGCCTCACTGTCCTGTTAGTGAATCCCCTGGTGTCCTAACTCCCAGGAAGAGCTGAGTTTTATATTTATGAATGTACACAAGTTATAAGTCAGGTGCCATCAAATCTGTTGATCTTTCACAAGTGTGATCACTTATGTCGCATCCAAGCTTAGAAAGTAATTTTTTTTTATAGTAAATTCTTTTCTTTATTTTTTTTTTTTGAGACGGAGTTTCGCTCTTGTTACCCAGGCTGGAGTGCAATGGCGTGATCTCGGCTCACCGCAACCTCCGCTTCCTGGGTTTAGGCAATTCTCCTGCCTCAGCCTCCTGAGTAGCTGGGATTACAGGCACACGCCACCATGCCCAGCTGAATTTTTGTATTTTTAGTAGAGACGGGGTTTCACCATGTTGACCAGGATGGTCTCGATCTCTTGACCTCGTGATCCACCCGCCTCGGCCTCCCAAAGTGCTGGGATTACAGGCGTGAGCCACCGCATGTGGCCTAGTAAATTCTTTTCTTTAAAGATTTTTTGTTTGTTTGAGACAAGGTCTAGCTCTGTCACCCAGACTGGAGTGCAGTGGCAAGATCTCTGCTCATTGCAACCTCTGCCCCCCACAACCCCCCGGGTTCAAGGGATTTTCCTGCCTCAGCTCCTGGAGTAGCTGGGACTACAGGTGTGTGCTAGCACACTTGGCTAATTTTTTGTATTTTTAGTAAAGATGGAGTTTTGCCATGTTGGCCAGGCTGTTCTTGAACTCCTGGCCTTGAGTGATCTGTCCTTTTCAGCCTCCCAAGGTGCTAGGATTACAGGAATGTGCCACTGCACCCGGCTGAATTTTTAAAGACTCTTTAATGGCTTGTTTAAAAAAGATATATTGTTTAACTTTTTAATAATAGAATAATTGGTGATCTTGGACAACCCCCTCCCTCGCAATGAATGCGGGGATTGTGCAATCTGTTTTTTTTAAACAACTTTCTTGAGATATGATTCATATACCATAAAATTTGACCTTTTAACACATATACTTCAGTGGTTTTTAGTGTATTTGCCAGGTTGAGCAGCCATCATCTCTGTCTAATTGCAGAGTATTTTCACCACTGCAAAAGGAAACCCTTTAAGTACCCCATTAGCAGGTGCTCCCCATTCCTCTCTCCCCTTTCCCCAGCCATAGGCAACCACAAATCTACTCCCTCTCTCTCTGTGGATTTGCATATTCTGGATATTTTATATAAATGGAATCATGTGGTATATACACTTATTTATTTAACTTTTTAAACCATTGCACATGAATTCTATTAAGAAGTGAGGTTCCAAACAGACTTTACTTTCCAAACTGCTTACCTGTTGTCCCAGCACCATTTCTCTGTCACCTTCAGCTTCTTTGGTGATTGGTGACACGTTCCAGTCTTTGTTATCAGCTCTGTTTCTGGGCCCTCAAGTCTGCCCCATTGATGCTTCTGTTCAGGATCCCTACAGGATGTGAAGTCAGATAGGACTTGATCTAAATCCCAGATCTCATATGTCAGCTGTGACATCCATTTATTAATCTAGCCTACAAATATAAATATTTATTGAATTCTGTGACAAGTCTCTTTTTTTTTTTTTTTCTTTTGGCAAGGTCCCACTCTACTGTCCAGGCTGGAGTGCTGGAGTGCAGTGGCATGATCACAGCTCACTGCAGCCCCAGCCCCGACCTCCTGGGCTAAAGCCATCCTCCTGCTCAGCCTCCCAAGTAGCTGGGACCACAGACGTGTGCCACCACACCTGGCTAACTTTTGTATTTTTTTGTAGAGACAGGATTTTGCCATGTTGCCCAGGCTGGTCTCCAACTACTGAGCTCAAGCGATCCACCCACCTTGGCCTCCTGAAGTGTTGGGAGTACAGGCGTGAGCCACCACCCTGGCCCCAAGTCTTATCCTAGGCACTGGGGACCCAGAATTGCAGATGCGTTCCCTGTTTTAAGCAGAGGGACCAACACAATCTGGCAGGGAAAATTCCTATGGCTAGAAACACAGACACGGCAGTGGCCAGAGTGAGGCACGTTGTATATATTTTCTTTTTATATCTTAAACCCGATAACTGGCTTCAAGGCCCCATTTTCCAGATGAAAAAAACTGAGGTTCAGAGCAGTCAACTAACTTGCCTAGAGCAAATTCGTTGTAAGTGGCACACCAGGCTTGGTAAGTGGCAAACCAAGCTGATGTCAAGCCCTTGGAGTTAAGCTCTCCGCTATACGTGGGAGAAAGGGCCATGGGGGGTCAGCGAGTGGGGGGCAAGCTGGAGAAGGGAAGAATAGCTGATCCAAGGTCTCAGAGCAGGTTCATTTCTGGGGAAAGACCGCTATCTCTGCTGCCCCAGGCAGAGGAAGACTTGGGCCCTGTGAAAGGAAAATAAAACCTCAGGATCCCCAAGTCACTAAGCCAAGGGAAGAAATCAAGTTGGGAACTATGCCAGGCAAACCCACCTCCCATTGGATTCCTAAATAAGGTAAGATAGCTACATACCTCTCTCACAAACTGCCCACAGGAAAATTCGTTGTGGACCTCAAGATCTTTACCCTAAAACAGTTCTGTTGAATTTCACCCTGCAATGTAAACTAATAGCAGATCTTCAGAGGCGTGCACAGTAAATCATATCTGCTCACCTGAGACAAATGCACATGTGATTGCTTCCTCTGCCCTATTGTTTATGAAAAATGCAGATTCACTGAGTCAGACTAAATTGTGTATTCAGTGGAAGGCTGACCAAGGAATCAAAAGAATGCAACTCTTTGTCTCTTATCAACCTTCTGCCTCTTATGACCTGGAAGCACCCCTGCCACCTTCAAGTTGTCCCGCATTGCCAGAGCAAACCAACGTACATCTTACACGTATTGATTGATGTCTCCTGTCTCCCTGACATGTATCAAAGCAAGCTGTGCCCTGACTACCTTAGGCACATGCCAGGGCCTCCTGAGGCTGTGTCATGGCTGCATCCTTAAGCTTGAGGGAACACTGACTGAGATCTGTGTCAGATGTTTGGGGTTCACAGCCCTGCCATCACTGCCCTCCTCCCCACCTCCTGCCCTAGGCATGGCTGGCAGACAAAAACCGGGAGAGCAGCCCACTCCCTGCGGATCTACCTTTACTGGAACAGGCAGAGGAGGTTCTGTGTCACAGCACGGAGGTGGGTGTAAGCCTGCAGGAGGTTACAGCTGATCCCTGAGGTGGGGCTGCCCCAAGGTGGTGGCTTCAGCCTGGGAGGGCCAGAAGACCTCAGGTGAGACCTCAGCAATCCACGTGGAGAGGGAGGGTGGGGAGAGGGTGGGGAGATGACTAGATTCTGATGCACACAGGCTCCCACTTCCATTCAAAGACACTTCAGTGAGACGCTTACATCTGCGGTGGAGGGCAAGAGACATGACCCCAGGAGAGAGCAGCTGTGCTTCGAGGCAGTGGAACCAGCTCCCGGTGGGAGACTGAGGTCTTGGTTCTACTCCCAGTTTCACTTCTGATTTGCTGAATGATCTGGAGACCTCCAGGACCCTCGACTTTCCATCTGCAGAGCGGAAAGAGCGGATGGGAGGTTTCTAGGTTCCCTCCACTTCTCATCATTGCCGACATTCACTTGTAACAGCGGTCGGACTCCCCTCGGTGCACCTGTCCTGCAGGCAGACCTAGGAAGGTACGTTTTTCTGGCTTGGGAGATTTGGGCTGAGCAGTCCAGGGTGGCTGAGGTTTAGAGGGGACATCGGGGGAAGTACTTCTCCTATTTCTTAAGATCTGGGCTAGACTCAGCTCTTCCCATAGGGATTTACCTGAAGCCCAGGAACACTGTAGATCTGGCTCCCAAAACTGCCTCTGCAGAATTAAAACACTTGGAGAAATCTCACACAGCTCACTCCATCTTGCTGCTTTAAAAAAATATATCTTTTGGTATACAATTTTTTTTTTTTTTGTTACATGGATGAATTATACAGTGGTGAATTCTGAGATTTTAGTGCACCCATCATCTGAGTAGTGTTAACTAATGTGTAGTTTTTTATCCCTAGCACCCCTCTCCAGCCTCCTCCCCCTTCTGAGTCTCTGAAATCCATTATATTACTCTGTGTTTATATATTCGTAGCTTAACTCCCACTCATAAGTGACAACATATGTTTTTGGGTTTTCCACTCCTGTGTTACTTCACTTAGAATACTGGCCTCCAGGCTGGGTGTGGTGACTCATGCCTGTAATCCCCGCACTTTGGGAGGCCAAGGTAGACAGATCACTTGAGGTCAGGAGTTCGAGACCAGCCTGGCCAACATGGTGAAACCTCATCCCTACTAAAAATACAAAAATTAGCCGGGCATGGTGGCGGGTCCCTGTAGTCCCAGCTACTAGGGAGGCTGAGGCAGGAGAATCGCTTGACCTGGCAGGCAGAGGTTGCAGTGAGCTGAGATCATGCCACTGCACTCCAGCCTGGAGACAGTGTAAGAACCTGTCTCAAATTAAAAAGAAAAAAAAAAAAAAAAGAAAGAATAGTGGCCTCCAGCTCCATCCAAGTTGCTGCAAAAGACATCATTTTGTCCCTTTTAGTGTCTGAGTAGTATTCCGTTGTGTATGTATACATTCTCTCTATCCACTCATTAGTCTACGGGGACTTAGGTTGGTTCCACAGCTTTGCAATTATGAACTGACTGCTATAAGCATGTGTGTGCAAGTGTCTTTTTCATATATTGACTTATTTTCCTTTGGATAGATACCCAGTGGGGGGACTGCTGAATATCCACCTTGCTTCTAACCTCACAAACTCACTGCTTTTGCTTTTTCCTGGCCATAGGTCAAACTACGATGGGAAAAATTAAGTTTACAATTTAAAGCAAGGATGATAAGAGTCCCTTCCTGAAACTAGCCCCTTCCTTGTTTGGGGACCCAAACTGCCTTTGGAAAACTAATGAAAGTCAACAAGGTTAGAATTGTGGTAGGGGCCTGAATTCTGCTAATTCAGATAAGTGATAACCAGCCATTATTCTCTCTTTTTTTTTTTTTACAGTCCAGAGGTCTTTCATTTTTTTAACACCTATTATGCCATGAATTCATAGGGAATAGGCTCCAGCAGCTCAGGCTCCTTCCCACTGGTTCTCACAAAGTGTGCTTCTCTCGGTGGAGCAGGCTGGCGCTTCAGGTGGACCCAGGAACCTTTCTCTTTGGCTTCTTTCTTTTTCTGATCATTTTCCTTCACTCATTTCAGGAAGCTATCTCGGCTCTTAGAGTGCTTGATGTGCTCAATACGCACATTAATTCTCTTGGCAAGAATCTTGCCCTTAACTTGTTTGTTTACAACAACGCCAACAGCATGCTGGGTAACATCGTAGACTCTTCCAGTTTTGCCATGATAACATTTGTGGGGCATTCCTTTTTGAACAGCACCCATTCCCTTGATGTCTACAATATCACCTTTCTTATAGATTCGCATATACGTGGCCAAAGGAACAGCTCCATGTTTTCTAAAAGGCCTAGAGAACATATATAGTGCCTCTCTTTCCTTTTGTGTTCCTCATTTTGGCGAATTACTGGAAGATGGCCATTCAGGCCGAAAGGAACCAGCCATCATTCTTTAACTTACCTACTGCTCAGGAGTCTGTAGCCAAAGGTCACAAGATAAAGGAACTTCTCCAATTGCTCCTATAGATAACGTCACTATTATAAAACCTAAGATTGGTCTTCAAGATATTTTTCAGACTTTCGCATTCTAGAGAATCTTGACTCATATGAAAGAACGGACTCAGTGGATCTTCTGACGCCCAGCAGAAACTGCACGCAAAGGTAGTTCTGGCACTCTTAATAGCTTAATCCCCAGCAAACCTGCATGTCCTACTACCTAACCACCTGCCCACCAAACTATCCTGAAAAACCCTAGCCTCCAAATTCTCAGAGAGGTTGATTTGAGAAATACCTCCCACTCAGCTGTGTGTGATAATTAAACTCTTTCTCTGCTGCAACACTCCTGCTGTTCTCAGTGTATTGGCTTTTCTGGACAGCAGGCAAGAACCTGGCTGGGTGATTACTCCCCCGGCTGTCTCTGAAGAAGCGGTTGCAGTGGGCACCAGGTAAGTCTTTTTCTGGGTGTGGAGTGAGGACACAAGTACACTCCCAGCTGTTGGAACAGAAGGCTCTGGCTGCGGGTTGGCCTCGCTTTAGTCTCAGGCAGCTGTGGCCAGCAGGGGTCCAGTGGCTGCTGTAGGAAGCCTGGGTTCCAGTCCCAGCTCTGCTACCAACCACTCAACCTTGGCCAAGTCTTTTCCTCTCTCTGGGCCTCTTGTCCCTGTTGGTAAAATGTGGCTGTTGGACTCGATCATCTCCTAGGTCCTAGCTGTGATCTAAAGATCTAAAGGAACGCAGGCTCCACACTTACCATTTCTTTTTTTTTTTGAGACAGGGTCTTGCTCTGTCACCCAGGCTGGAGTGCAGTGGCACGATCTTGGCTCACTGCAACCTCTGCCTCCTGGGTTCAAGTGATTCTCCTGCCTCAGTCTCCTGAGTAGCTGAGATTATAGGCACGCACCAACACGCCCGGCTAATTTTTGTATTTTTAGTAGAGACGGTTTCATCATGTTGGTCAGACTGGTCTCAAACTCCTGACCTTGTGATCCGCCTGCCTCAGCCTCCCAAAGTGCTGGGATTACAGGCATGAGCCACTGCTCCTGGCCCACACTTATCATTTCTGTGCCTCGGTTTTCTCATCTCTGAATGGAAACGTATGTGAGAGAGCCTGGAAGAGAACCACAATCACCCCATCCTGTATGGGTGGTGCACGCAGCTTGCTTGATACCCATACCAGGATTCTGACATAGGCTGGGCTGAGGCCCGTAGCCCATCATCCTACAGATGGGAAACTCAGGAGGGCTCCATGGAGCTCTCTGTAGCTGGGTGGGAGGGCCAAGGGCATACTTACCGGAGAGCTGGCCGGGCGTGGTGGCTCACACCTGTAATCCCAGCACTTTGGGAGGCCGATGCGGGTGGATCACCTGAGGTCAGGAGTTAAAGACCAGGCTGGCCAACATGGTGAAACCCCATCTCTGCTAAAAGTACAATACAAAAATTAGCTGGACGTGGTGGTGTGTGCCTGTAATCCCAGCTACTTGGGAGGCTGACACAGGAGAATTGCTTGAACACAGGAGACAGAGGTTACAGTGGTCCAAGATTGCACCACTGCACTCCAGCCTGGGTGACAGAGCAAGCCTCCATCTCAAAACAAACAAACAAAAAAAAACTTGTCTGGGAGCCCTGGCTCCCAGGGCCTGTGGGGAGTGGGGAGCTGAGAGCTAGGAGGAGGCTGGGTCATCAGAGCAAGTCTTTTCCAGGATGCAAAGACCATGCTCAGTAGACGGCTCGGTTGGAGTTTTGGGGATAAGCACCAGCCTCGGGGGCCTGAAGGAAGCCCATGGAAGCCCGTGGCCATGGCCAAAGGAACTCATCACCCTGGGGCCAGAAGAATTGCTCGTCAAGTGGTCCTACAAAGGATCCAGGAGCTTTCTGATTTGGTATGTTGGGAGAGGAAAGACGAGGAGTTGTGAGCCTCAGGTCTTCCGTAGTGGGCAAGAAATAGGCTTTCTGTTTCACCGTTCTGTAACGCCATTAGGCTGTCTCTCTCAAGGCTCTCTTGTGCTAAAACTAATGGAAAAACTTGACTTGGGAAACCCTATGAAGGGTTTCCCAACTCAGCCCTCCTGGGTTTTTATTCTTCCTGCCCTGCCTGCTTCTACCACTTGGGGTTTTACCCAGTGCCAAGCTGTGGCATCCTCCAGCTTCTGTCTACAAAGGTGATTGCCCGCTTGTCCTCCTGGCTTCCCTGGCTCCCTGGGTTTTTAGGGCTGTGCTGCCTCCATGCATGGTCCTGTCTGGACCTGATCGCCACCATCACCGGAGAACCTGTTGGAGGTGCAGACTCTTTGTCCACTCCAGACCCACTGCACAGAGCACATAGTTGACAAGATCCTGGGGGAGTTGCCTGCTGGGACGGCCTGCTCTAGGCTCACCCAGTGACTTACCGTCTCTCCACCGGCTTCCAGAGGCCCCACCCCACCTCCCCTCAGACTCCCTTAGGACACAGAGTCTCAGCTCTCTTACCATCTTCACCAACCCCTCCCTGCCAGTCAGGGGACACTTTTCCCGGTCTGAGGGAGGGCCTTCTGTCAGTGTCACAGTGACATTCTTCTTGCACCCTGGCACCCTCTCCTTTCAAGGGCTAAGCTTCCCAAAGAAGGCCAGGAAGTCTCATAGCCACCATCTCTCCCCCAGGGACATGATAGAGCCAGACACGAGCATCAATGAGGAGGAGAAGAAGAGAGAAAATTAGAGAGAAAAATAGATACCTCAAAATATCCCGACCCACAGGTATCACCTGAAGCTGTTCATTGTTGGGATTGAATCTCAACTGTGTTGCTGTCCAGCAGTAAGACCTTGGGTGAGGCACTCCAGCCCTCTGTACCTCAGTGGCTGCATCTGTGCAATGGGAATGATTTATATACTACCTCCTTCCCTTCCCCCCACATGGTGTGTGGCTCATGATAATTAATTAATGAGCTCATGCTGCATGAGTCCACGACTTTTTCTCTGTGGCTCAGTTGGATGGAAGCTCCACCAGGATGGGGATTTTGGGTCTGTTTTCTTCACTGCTCTTTCCCCAGTACCCAGACTAGAGTATGGCACAGAGTAGGTGCTGGATGACCCTGTTGAATAACTGTAGAAAAAATGGCCTGGAGCTGCCCCAGCCCAGCAGGCTCTTCTCTCCTCCGAGGACCGCGGCACACATCGCAAGGCAGAATATAACAGTGTCAAGTGTGGTCTCCCGAGACTTAGGAGACCTGGGTTCAGACCCTGTCTTTGCCATCCTCTTTCTGGAGGAACTTGAACCAGTGACCACCTTTCTGAGCCTTTGCTTCCCCATCTCTAAAATGAGGATAACAGCAGCCCTTATTTCATAGAGCTGTTGTGAGGATTAAATGAAATAATCCACCCCTCAGCCTTTCCTCCCTGTCTCCCTGTCCTGTAGGACCAGTGAGACCCCTTTATGCTGGCCGACCTGGACATGCTGGTCAGCTGCCATCGGGCCTTCTGCCAAGGCCTGCCATGGGTCTCGCCCTTCTATGCACTGAAGTGTAACAACGGCTCTTGGGCGCTGCATGTCCTGGCCGCCCTGGGCACCGGCTTCGACTGTGCCAGCCAGGTGAGCCTGTGTCTGTGGAGGAGTAGCCAGGCCCGTGGGAAGGGGGCGAATCCCTGCTGCTGCTGTGTTCATGAATAAGTTTCCCTTGTCCCTCGGAGCACTTGAAATGCACTAAGCACCCTGCAGGGGCCTTACATGCCTTCTCCCGGATCCTCTCATGCGCTCTGCGAGGTAGCCAGGGGACCCCCATTTCATAGAGGAGGCAACAGCCTCAGGTGGATCACTTGCCCATGGGCTAACATATGGTAAGAGACAGAACATCTCGAGGGTGGGGGGCTAAAAAAAATAAAATTAATAAAATAAAATTTAAAAAAAGACAGAGACAGCTGATCCAAAGCGGAATTTCTTTCGTACACCGGGGTGAAACATTCCGAGGGGTTCTTAGCAGAAGGGGATTCAGCAGTGGTGAGGGAGGTTAGAGCAGAAGCCAAGGTGGGAAGGGGAGAACTTCTCGGGCTGGGAGTATTTCGCTGAGCCTCCCTCCTTCCTTCCTTCCTTTCTTTTTAAGTGTAGTAGTGAGAAGTGGGGAAGAGCAGAACAAGGTGGTCATCTGTAACTGACTGAACAATCAACTGAGAGAACTCACTGCCTTCAGACCAGCCCTTCCTCCCTTCCCAGGAGCCCTCCGCTAAGCAGGATTAAGCTGCCTCTAGGAAGCCACCCCATCTCTGCATGGGGCTGAAATGGATCGGAGGGAGTTGGTTCTAAGCTGAGACTATCAGCACCTGGAGTGCCCGGTGCATTGAGACTATCAGCCCTGCGCTGCCCAGCAAGGACTCCATAATGAGCACCCCATCAGCCCCACCCAGGGCTCCTCCCTGAAAGTGAGGGAGCAGGGGGTGGGTTCCAACCTGGGGTTCCATCAGGGCAGCCTCTTTGGCTCATGAACACTTTCTCTATCCCCACATAGTTGGGGGTGGGCAGTGAGGCAGCCCCCAACCCTGGCTCTTGGCCACTCCAGGTGGAGCTGGAGCACGTGCTGGGCCTGGGCGTGGCCCCCTCTCGTGTCATCTATGCCAACCCCTGCAAGCCTGCCTCCCACATCCGGTATGCTGCCCACCACGGGGTGCAGCTCCTGACCTTTGACAGCGAGGAGGAGCTGACCAAGGT